GAATGTACACAAAGTCCTCTTTCCCTGAACATAGTAGAAAGGAACAGTGGGCAGTTTCCTTGCTCATTTTCTAAGTCTGTACTTCCAGTCAGTTCTGTGTCTCAAGGAGTTCTGCTTCCTCACATTGTCATGACTGATTCTCTGCTGGCTTTCCTCTTGGTTTATGTTTCTGTCTCTAACACACATATAGTTTGTGAAACAATCCTCTAGTCCTTGCATTTGTAACTGCGGAACCCTCGGTCAATATGATTTCACTTCTGATCAGATCTTGTCATGTGTCCCATTGCCTTGGGGGATGGCTTCTATGGTCTCTACCTATCTTACTACATGAAGGGGCTTAATTGCTCCTTCCATTTAGTCTGAAAGAAGGGTGCTTACCACGGTGATTGGTTTTAACCAAGTCTGTGGTTGTCTATAGACAAAGACCTGGCTGATGTCAGACATTGACTGCTTCCAGCATGGCATCCCTATTTTCTCTTTGTGCATTCTCTTTTCCCCTCCATCCCTTTTGCACACTGACTTCTACAGCCAATCATCCAGCCAGAAAGTCTTTTAGCCCTTCAGAGTGGTAACTGCTTACACTAGTGATAAATTTGAACCTGAAATTCACCAAACCATTTCAGGACCAAGTTCTCTTACAGCAACAGAATAATGTGCTATTCTCAAATCACCAAACTGGCCTATAAAACAACTAGCTACATAATAAATAACTTTAATTAGGATTTTAATTTCTAAAACCTGGCTTAGAACCAAAGTGCACTCAGTGGAAACAGGAAGCAATGCTTGTAGGCAACAGGTGAAGAGCTGTATGCTCCCATTTAGTGATATAACAAGGTACTGGGATACTGGATATACATTTGATCAACAAATTACATTTCAATGTTCCCTTCCTGCAATCATTCAATCTGCAGAAAAAAAATGAAATGAACAGATGCTGAGTCCTTGAGTTAAATTAATTCTGTTCAATGAATGTACTGTACTTAAATATGTGTCATTAAGCACCTTTAACAGCTTTTTAGCAGATGTTGAGTAGGAAAATAGATCAGTTGGAGGGAAAAACAAGACAAAAGTAAAATCAATGTGGTGTGTTTGGATCCATATACAGTATAATTATATTTAAGCAAAAATGGCTTCATTTATCACTGCTGCAGGTGTGTCTCTGCACCATGACTGTGAGTCTCCCTGATTCTCAGTCTTGCATCAGAGTTAACAAAAAAGAGGGTATAGAAATCTAATCCTGCTCCCCTTTAAGTCAATAGCAAAACTCCCATTGACTTCAGTGGAAGCAGTATTTGGCCCTACATCTTTTATCCACCAGCAAATGAAAATGGCTGCAAGTTTGCACCCTAAAACCTCAGGCTGTTACTGTTCTGGGCTGAAACTCTCATAGGAAGGGGATTGAAAATATCTTGGCAGATGTAATGAAAGTTCTAGAGGACCAGACTGATAAAAGAAACATACAGATATTGTAATCCTTACAGCATAATCCTTAAACCTGAAGAGCTCTGTATAAAATCAAAAGCTTGTCTTTCTCTCTAACAGAAGTTGGTCCAATAAAAGATATTACCTCACGCACTTCGTCTCTATAATATCTTGGGAACGACACGGCTACAACAACACTGCATATAGCATAATCCTTACTCACACTAGGATTACTTATGTGAGTAAGGATTATTCATATGAGGAAAAAGCAGCTTTCTTGCACACTGAAAATGGAAAGTTAGGTAAATAACAAACAGTTTTTTCCCCTAATCTAAGGCAGGTGAATGAATGCCCATAGACTGTGGTTTTCATTAATTAAACTAATCAATGAAAGACAACATATGTGAGTGCAAGGAGTATAGTTCAATGCTAACAACCAGTCTGTGGGGCCAAATCCTGCTTGCCTTACACAAATATTCCCACTAACTTCAATGCAAGCACCTGCGTGAGTAAGGTGAACAAGATTTGGCCTCTGGTCAAAGGAGTGACCTGTACAGAAGATAGTTGGCAATATCCTATATAGATCACTGTTCAGTGATAATTACCAATTTTCTATATTTACAGAAACTGTCAATTCATAAAGATTGGCCTGCGTTGTTATCGACATAAGCACCAGTTTTCTATAAAATAAGAGACATATGGTGGCATTTTTACAGCATTCAACTTAAATGTGAAAATCTAAATATGGGCTAGTAATAATTCAATCATCACTGAACCACTGTTTCCATATTTTTAATGAAAATACCTATATTATATTTAGCCATGAGTCTTTTGAGATAGCTGACCTACAGATCGTAAAAAATATACATTATTGTTGATTGTCAACAAAAGATGCATTTCTTCTGTGGGTGTTTATTTACTGATTTCTAAAGAGGCCAGGCTATTTGTTACTGTCTTCTGAACCATGGTCATAAATAGATAGGGCCCTACCAAATTCACGGCTATGAAAAACTCAACATGGACCGTGAAATCTGGTCTTTTGTATGCTTTTACCCTATACTATACAGATTTCATAGGGGAGACTAGCGTTTCTCAAATTGGGGAACCTGACCCAAAAGGGAGTTGCAGGTGGACACAAGATTATTTTAGGGGGGTCACGGTATTGCCACCCTTACTTCTGCACTGCCTTCAGAGCTGGGCTGCCGGAGAGCAGCGGTTGTTGGCTGGGCGCCCATCACTGAAGGCAGTGTAGAAGTAAGAGTGTCAATACCATACCATGCCACCCTTACTTCTATTCTGCTGCCTTCAGAACTGGGCAGCCCGATAGTGGTGGTGGCTGTCTGAGGGCTCAGCTCTGCAGGCAACAGCACAGAAGTAAGGGTGGCAATACCATGCCACGCCATCCTTACTTGTGCACTACTGCTGGCGGCAACTCTGCCTTCAGAGCTGGGGTCCCGGCCAGCAGCTGCCGCTGCTCTCCAGCTGCCCAGCTCTGAAGGTAGCACCGCCGCCAGCGGCATTGCAGAAGTAAGGGTTTCAGTACTGTAACCCCCCTTACAATAACCTTCCGACCCTCTGCCCCACAACTCCTTTTTGGGTCAAGACCCCTACAATTACAACACCCTGAAATTTCAGATTTAAATAGCTGAAATCATGAAATTTATGATTTTTAAAATCCTATGACTGTGAAATTGACCAAAATGGACTGTGAATTTGATAGGGCACTATAAATAGGTAAAGGATGCACAGATAGGTGTGGGATTTTCCTAGTCCAGGGTTTGTTTTTGTCTATGGCTCTGTTCTCTCACTTTCACTCCTAGCAGGTTCAGTAATACAGAGCAATTGCAAATTATAGGTACTGGATTCGAATCCCCATGCGTATCTACTATTATAGGAAACTACAATATGAGTTATACAACACTGCCACTCCTGTGAGTAGAGGAGATGAGGATCCATCCAGTCCTTGGTTGAGGATGCGGAAAGTGGGAATGCTGTCTCCATGCTGCTCTCTCCCTCCCATCATCCAAACCTATAGAACAGGTTCCATAGGGCTTGGGACCAATCTACTGAAGGGGTTAAGCCAGAGGCGTCAGACCCTCTCTCGCATCAACTCACCTCTGTGTAGCTCTGTCAAATAAGTCAAACTTCTGTACCAGCATTCACTTACCTGTTTTCCCCAACACCCTCCTTCTGCCCAGGAAAGTCAATCTATGTTGCTGTGTCTAAGGAGGTCATGGTACCTGGAAAATAAGAGATCTTGAGCACACAACATTTCCTGTTTAATCAGGGGAGCACCAATCAATTTAGGGGACCTTCTGTCTGGCTTTCCTGAGTCTAGACTGAGTCTAGAATCACCTCACTTTGAAATCACTTTCTAAATCCACTCCTTTCATGCCAGAGCAAAGGGAAATTATGTCACTTTATTGTGTTAGACTTTGAATTCTTGTGGGTGGACAACTGTTTATCCCTTTATTCGCTTCTCAATAGATTAAACCTAGAGAAAACAAAAGATCTATCACTTCACGTTAAGTGGCTCATCTTAACTCTTTACTCAACCCTATGCTCCCCCATATTGATTAACATGATGTTAAATATAACTTTGCAGTCAGTGTAGAAAGGGTCAAACTGTGTTTTAATATTGTCATCTGGGATAGTTATCAAAATAAATCTTATTTGTGACTAGAGTTCATTGAACAATTTCAGATTTTTCAAAGAAAGATACAATTCTCATTAAAATATATATACAAAAGTTAAATTTTCTAATTAGCTACATTTGCAAAAATTAGATGTATTTTTGGGAAAAAATCTTAATGAAACATGGTTTGTTTTTTTTCAACCGATTCTACTCATGACTAACTGATACAATGTTAAACACAATGGCTCTTAGATGGTGACCACTAAGTCTTGTTTTACATCATGTTGGCTAACATGACTCCTCAAGGTCATGTTCCAACACTACTTTATTTTCTAGGGCAAGCAAGCCCTAAGTGGCACAGAAAATCTTCAACCTTTTCTTCAACTTTAAAATTCAGGTTTCCAATCTCACAAGAAGTAACTCAGCATTGCGGGGGAGAGATAGCTCAGTGGTTTGAGCATTAGCCTGCTAAACCCACGGTTATGAGTTCAATCCTTGAGGGGGCCATTTGGGGATTTAGTTGGCCCTGCTTTGAGCAAGAGGTTGGACTAGATGACCTCCTGAGGTCCCTTCCAACCCTGAGAGTCTATGATTAAAGTGACAGAAACCTCTCCTTCCTAAAAGCTCATATCCCTAGTGATAGTTGGGTCTACAAATTTACTGTAATTGTGATCTTAACAGTAAAAAGTATGTGAAAGTTCATAGGCACTGACTTTTATTTTTCCCCAGGGGTGCTCCACTTCCCAGTCCACTCTGAGGCCCCGCCCTCACTCCACTTCCTCCCCAAGGCCTTGCCCTTTCCCCACCTCTTCCTGCCCCCACTCTGCCCCTTCCCAAGACCCCACCCTTGCTCCGTCTCTTCCCACCCCTGCTTCACCCTCTTCCTGAGGCCCCACGCTCACTGCTTTCTGGCCTCCCCCAAGTCCCTCCCCCAGCAATCAGCAGTGCCTGGTGGATGCTGAGCACCCAATTTTTTTTTCCATAGGTGCTCCAGCTCCAAAGCACCCAGGGAGTAGGTGCCTATGAAAGTTCATAAGATATCACTTAACCTATAATAACAAATGTTGATGGGAAAAGGTATGAAAGGGAGGCAGAAAGACTAAATTAGACCAAAAAGGTCTAATGATATATACTCAAGGACTGTGTTAAAATCAAGTTTGTTAAACAAGAAAAGTGTGGAACCAAAAATTAGTGAACTAAAATTGGTGTGTTGGAAACTAGGCCTAATTGATGATGGACAAAATAATGAGGGGATAGGCTTTTTTGTCCACCGTTCCCTTTGTGAGTCCTTCAAGAAAGAGACTTTGAGGAGAGAGCATGCCTACTGGACAAGCTTCACCATCATGGCTGCAATCCACACCATCTCCTGGGACCCCGGACCGTCTTCATCCTTGTCCTGAGAAATGTCCTCACCAGATCAGGCCAGAGAGGGGGACCCAGATGACATCGCCACCTCTACCAGCTCCAGCTGAATCCCAAACACCACCTGGGATGAAAGAGGATCGAACTTTAGCAGCTGCAGCAAAAAACGATGCAGCCCATCTCAACTAACTTCTTCTTTTCTCCAAAAGGAAAGTTATTACCCTCTAAGAGACTTTCAGCCAGAGGGATTTTTCCTTTTAAAAACTCTCTCCAGCTAAAGGGAAAGATAAGAAGGGATGTTATTAAAATTAAAGCCTTAATACTTTACATTTCAAATGCTTTAAATGTTTTCCTTTATCTTTAATAAAATGTTTAAATGATTTTTAATGATGTTTGCCATGGTATTATGTGGGCTGAGGTCTCTATACGAAACACTGGACTTTGTCCAACATTAAACAATGTTAAACAATGACTGGGTTATAGTAACACCTTTGGCCCATTCATTCCATCTAAATTAATACAACACAATTTCTCTGTTGCAATCACTCAAGTGGGCACTATGGCAGAAGTAAGCTCCCGACAGACCAGGACACACCAACTCAAAGTGGTACCAGACCTTGCTAGAACAATTGGTGGAGGCTCGTGCTGCCTCTCCTCTTTCACTGCCCCAACAATGAGTTCTCCTGGCAGGATCTGATTCTGCAAACAGCTGAGTACCTCTTGGAATGTATCCTTGTTCCTTACCAGTGAATTCTTACTCATGTAAAACTCTCACTGGAGTCAATGGATGTTTTAAGGAACCTCGACTGTGCACAGTGCTAAGCACATCTCAGTCAAGGTGCCAAACACCTCCCAGGAGGTGGTCAGCACCTTGCAGGGTTTGGGGCTCAAAGCTTCCATTCTCTTTAATAAGAATGGCATGAATGTAAGAAATTGCAAGGCCTTCAATATTATAAATTCACTCACGTGGAGGACTTTTTTTTTTTGTAGTTAAAAACTGCCCCAAATTATGTGGGATATGGCGAAGTTAACCATTTTTGAACATACACCTGAGAATATTTATAAACAAGATATCTAAAAAGCATTTTTAAGCCAGTGAATTGTGAGTCTGATCCTGCAATCCCTTACTCAAGTGCATAAATAAATGGGATCACTCATGTAAATATGGGCAAGGGTTTGCAGGTTCAAGACCTTATTGCTGATGAAAGGTGCTAGAGTGAGATTCCCTGGGGACTGAAGCTCTGTATTTAGAACAGAATGGAACACAGAGTGACAGCTGAAGTGAAAGTTCCCCTCCTTTCCCATGATAAAATACCTGACCACTTGTAAGGATGAAAGGATAGTTCAATCTCCCTTCTGAGATGGCAAAAAGGGTGGTGGTGGCAGTGGTTGTCTGTAATATGAATACTTTTGGGAACTGGCCTGAGCTCACCAAACTCATTTTATACAGGCCACTGAATGGCCAACGATTGGGAACTATATTTGGCCATTGCTAACCTGGGTTGGGCTTTAAGGCAGATACCTAGGGATAAAAGGCTCTATAGCACATTATCAATCCCCTAAAACATCCAATCCCCCATGTGAAAAGAGATTTTTGAAAACTTTCTATTGAGAAATTCTAAAAGTGAGACTTTTTCCTTGGTAGAATATTATGCCTTTGTCGACTACATTTCACTACTGCATTAAAAAAAAAAAAGACCGAGTATTATGCTGCCCTGGTTAGCTTAACAGATACTTATTCCCTTTATACAATTTACTTCTGACATCACTGCTTTATTTACAGTGAAAGAGGCAACCAAGTGAGGCCCGAATGAGACAACAAACACTTAGTGAATTTGCTCTTCTTGCAGAGATGGCTTCTTTTCTAGCCATTGTAAACAATACAATGAAAACTGCTTGTATGTCATCAATAAAATACACAGCTCTCTTTAAATTAAAAGAGTGGCAGAGTGGTTGATGCTGTGGTACGATTATTTTCACAAAATGTAGAATATATGGTATGACACTTTAGGGTTCATACCACACCAGTAAGGGGTTGTGTCACCACCTGCCCTGCAACTCTGGGTGCCTATGTTATGCTGCTGTGGCTCACAGCCCTGACACCAACAGCCAGACTACAAGCATACAGGTCACACCCTGACTTCCACCGCTCAGTTGTTTTATGCAGGGTGACTCCAACGCCTCCCTAGTTATTAAGTTTGTTGTTCCTTTAAAGAGACAATACACTGCAGCTCATTAGTTTAACAAGCGTTTAACAAACACTCTTATTTCAACAACAGCACTGAATTGGTTTATAGTTAGGGCCCTACCAAATTCATGGTCCATTTTGGTCAACTTCATAGTCATAGGATTTTTAAAATCGTAAATTTCATGATTTCAGCTATTTAAATCTGAAATTTCAGGGTGTTGTAATTGTAGGGGTCCTGACACAAAAAGGAGTTGTGGGGAGGGGGAGTCGCAAGGTTATTGTAGGCGGTGTATGTGGTACTGCTATCCTTAATGCTACAGGTGTTGGTGGTGCTGCCTTCAGAGCTGGACAACTGGAGAGCAGCGGCTGCTGGCTGGGAGCCCAGCTCTGAAAGCAGAGCTGCCACCGGCAGCAGCACAGAAGTAAGGATGGCATGGTATGGTATTGCTACCCTTACTTGTGTGCTGCTGCCTGCAGAGCTGGGCCCTCAGTCAGCAGCCGGCTCTCTCTGGCTGCCCAACTATGAAGGTAGCACAGAAGTAAGGGTGGCAATACCATGATCTCCCCCTAAAATAATCTTGCAACACCTGCCCCGCAACTTCCTTTTAGGTCAGGAGCTTCAATTTGAGAAACGCTAGTCTCCCCCGTAAAATCGGTATAGTATAGGGTAAAAGCACACAAAAGACCAGATTACACGGGTGTAACGCCACACCCCATATTCTTCATAGAAATGCTGTTATGATATGAATATGGCATAACTAAAATGTTTTATGCAAGATGGATCATGTAAGGTATCATTGGAAAGGTTATGTTTTACTGAATATGATTAGCCTATTTTTATAAGTGTGTCATTTCTGTATCTGAAGTTAGGAATATTGACTATGTAACAATTACAACTGCAGTTACACCGAGGAAACGCCCATAAGACAGTATGCAATTAGCCTGGATGAGCCATTAGCAAAGATGATTGGTCTTTGAAGATGTTGATCTCGTACTCCTGGAATTCCTTCCTGTGGACATTACAAATAAACCTTGTCTCATGATTGCTTTAACACTGCACAGTCATGTGATGATGTCACCTGGTACGGAGTACCACTTTGGACACTCCTGGTATTCTTCCACTGGAAACAAAGGCTTCCTGCCTTATGTAAATTCTACTTAAAGCTGGGAAATGAGTCAATCAGCGCTCTTTTCCACTGCCTCCCTGCCCAAGAAGGAAGACAGCTGAAAACACCTGAAGAAACAAAGAAACTAAGCTGGGGAAAAGCAAGGGCTGAGTCCAGGCTGAGATAGGGGTCTAGCCTGTGAAGAGAAATAACTGGAACGCTGCACTGTAGAAACTCTGCACCCTGCCTAAAACAACATTTAGGGTGAGAAATTACTATTTGTAACCTGTTTTTTTTAGTGTATTATGCTTAGTTTGCGTGTTTTGTTTTATTTGCTCAGTAATCTGCTTTGTTCTGTTTGCTATCCCTTATAATCACTTAAAATTTACCTTTTGTAGTTAAGAAACTTATTTTTTGTTTATTCCAAAACTCATTGGGGGTGCAATTCATATGGGGGGGAGGGGAAGCTGTGCATATCTCCCTCCACATTGAGGAAGGGGGCAATTTTTATGAGCTTGCACTATACAGATCTCTCTATACAGCAAAAGACAATATTATTTTGGGTTTACATGTGAGTGCTGGGTAAATCCCCAAGCTGAATCCTCCCACACAGAGCTGATTTTAGTCTGTATCTGCAGCTGGGTGTGGCCTTACCTGTGTGTGTGTTGCTGGAATGGTTGGGCTCAGTGGGACTCCAGTATATCAGGAGGCATCCTGGACGGGGGTGTCCAACCCGTCACAACGGGGGGAGACCAGATTTCATGATTCATTCTTCATGGCTGTGAATTTGGTAGGGCCCTATTTATAGTAAAAGTAAAACAAGTTTACTTAAAAGGGATAGGATTAAGTGATACCAAGTATAAAGGATTAATATAGAAAGTGTCACAAGCAAACAAAAGTAAAAAATATGCTTCTAAGATTAAAAATTATTTTCAGCAAGTCACAATCTTTGCCTATGCATGTTTCTTAACTAAACTCAGTTCCCAGAGACTTCAACACCCCCTTTATTGAAGGATCCCATGTTCTGTGATTTCAAGTGCTCTCTAGGCCCTTGAGTCCCTTAAGTGATGGTTACCAAACTGGCATTCTGTTTCTGCTTATATCTCCCAAATATCACCGACTCCGTTACAAGAGGCAGGAAGGCTTCCTGCTGTTCTTCTCTTCTGGTTGACTTCCCATCCTTCTACTGATTTGTATGTAAATGGGGCTCCCATTGTTTCGATTCCATAATGCTCAATTTACATTGGAGACAGGTAGATAGCTGCCTTCCCTCCTGTCTGGGAGAAAACCTGTTTCTCCCTATGATGGGTCACAGACTTTAAAGCATAATATCAGTAAGTATCCATATTTCCTCATATAATGTTAATGCACACATTTAACAATAATATTAATCACCAGTGTGTCACAGGCTTTCAGAAAAGACCTTACTTGATACCCTTTTATAATACAGTAATATGATATACAATCAGTTGATTTAATTGCTTTTCATTTAAGGTTCAGACACCCTTGTCTTTATAGACCCACAAACCTTTGAAATGTAGTCTCAGATGAAGTTATTTTTCTCCTGTTGGGATGTAGATGCCATGCTGTCCTCGCCTCTGATTGTTAGCTTGATAATTTTGTTTATCTTATATGTAAATGTACCTTCACTGTCTCTGCATGATGACAAGGCTGGTCAGACAAGCAAATACACATGTAATTTATGTACTTCAATATTATGTACTGAATATGTCTGCTACCCCTATTCCTTTATATAAGGCAGACCGTGCTTATGCATTGCTTGCCAAACACATTTTAAGAACATAATTCTAGCACATATTTATAACTTTTTGTACACAGCTTGTACATACACCATGCAAAAATATTAATGATCAGTGAGTTATTAGTTCTCCAATGATATATTATGTGCCACCTTTTGGGTATATATCATGGCAGTCATGTGTTAGGGGTAATGAGTATTTCAGGCCTGACAAGAGTTGCTGACACAGAACAGTTAACTACCCATGGGCCTCTGGGTCACAGATGGGCAGAGCCATGTATCTTCTGTTTCCTTTCCCCTTCAATGCCAGTGATAAAATACTCCCTGCTCTTTTCCATTTTAGTTATGGTAACTGGTCTAACCTGTTTTTGAATATGTCTTTATAGCATTTACATGGGTTTACACTCTCCACTCAGTGCTCAGATTTTGTAACTGCTCGGTTTTTATTTTTTTTCACCAAAGCCTGTCTTTTTTTCAGACAAGTGAAATAAGTTTATAATTAACAGTTGAATAAAATTCATTATAGGATTAAGGCAGAGCATTTGCATGAGCCTTAATCACAGAAAATGGAAAAATAGAGAAGGAAAACTAAGTTATATAAAGGATCTGGGTTGCATTGTTATATTTTAGTTCAGAACCCAATGGAACATTCCCAGAGCTCATTTAAGTTTTGTGCTAGTGGATCTCATGGAAAAAGAGAACTGTATCACTGGATTTGCAGCCACTTCATACAGATGAAATGTGTATGGAAACGCCTGCCTCTTAAAACACACACACAGGCTGTAAAACTGAGTATGTCTGCTACTCCTATTATGCCTCAGCTGTCTGGGGAGTTCCTTGAAGGTAGGATTTGCAACTCCCTTACACCTTGTTTAATCATTTACACATGTGTAAAGTGATGCTACAAAATCAGTATGGTATTTACCATTCATTTAGGACAGGTGTAAGTGACTACAGGTGTGAGGAAATAGAGAACCAGGTTCTGACTTCTGAGACTTAATATTGAAGTACATAAACTTTATTCATCACGCATGCTCTGTATGCTTTGTCACCCAGGAATTCCTGAAGTCTGGCCCTGACTAAAACCTGGGATGGGTTCTCTGGGGTAACCTCTCTTTTTTTTCGGTTCTCCTCATCCTTCTCAGGAATCTGTGGAGATTGTCCTCAGGACATTACACCTCCCATGTGCTTGAAGGAAAAAAAGTATATTCTTCAGCACATATAAATGTAAATCTTCAGTTCACCTTTCCTGCCCATGGAAGGAAAGCCCAGAGTCCGACTCCTGAAAGACAATGTAAGAATGAAAGAGTGTGGGGAAACAAGGGTGGGTGAGGTAATATTTCTTATTGCACCAACTTCAGTTGGTGAGAGAAACAAGTTTTGGAGCTTTTACATGTGTAAAACTCATCTAGTGTTGCAGTGCAAATTTGGACTGAGGAGCGGAGCTCAAAGGCACTTTTGAAGAGTGGTAATGACTGCATGGAACAAGCCTAATCAACCCTCTGAATTAATTGTTTCCTTGCTTGCAAACTTGCATTTTCTTGAACCTTTCATTTTATTGAATCTTTTGTATCATTCACTACTGGAAGTGTTAAGCAGTAGGATTCTTTTTTGAATTCCAGGTGAGGTGCCACTGTAGCATCAGACAGTTCAGAGAAACGTATGCTGAAGTACAGCTTCTGCTCTTGGAATACAGTTTCTGGGGGCATCCCTGGTCATCTTCCTGTGGGCAAGATAGATGAGGAATTCAGATTTCCCTTTCAAAATGTGGGGTTATTTTTTAAATGGCGGAGGGATGATAGGTGGCTCTTTAGATTTCATGCACTCATTTAATGTGTTGCAGCAGCAGTAACACGGAGTTGCTCTTGTTTTCCATTGGAATCACTAACTCAGGAAATGAAAAGTGCACTGTTCAACAACATATGAGAAATCTTAACCTAATAGTCACAGGCTCATTTAATAAAAAATGATGTCGGCATGCGATTAGCTTAAATATGCACTGAAGACAAGAAAAACTCATATTTATTATGGCTATTGATTCCTCTTCCCTAGCCCCCCCAGCAGCTTGAATTCTACGCTACATTTCCCTTTAGATCAGGGAAGAAATGAGATGCCAGCTTGAAAATGCTCAAGATACACAAACAGAAATTCTGGGACATGAAATGAATGGTATATAAGAAAAAAACAGAAGTCTTTCTTTTAAAAGGCAACAGGCCAAACTAGAACCCAGCTGTTAAAATGGTTGTTTTTCATGTAATACATTTCAAATAAGGGAGAAGTATATTTTTGTTACATAAATATCGATGTTGTGGAAACACTTCTGAATCAATTTGATTTGTAAACAATTCTTCAGCATTTATTGATTCTGAGATAAGCTGCTAGAAGTCTTTGTCTTTATATTAGCTTTTCTAGGCTATATTGTAGACTTTTCTGAATGCTTTTCACCAATGAGCGGGGTTACCAAAAACAGCACAAGAAGTTTCATATGCCACTAAATTTTGATTAATACGTTTAAGAGAAGCAAAGGAGATTATCAGTATAACCGAAGGACAGATTGTGTCCTGAATAGTGTCCTACAGCTAAACAAACAAGCAAACACACAAACCTAACATCAGGGAAAAACAAATGAGAAAAACTAACATGTTCCAGTGAATAAATAGGTAAGCAACTTCTTTTTGATGATTATAGCTACCCAATGGGAGAATTTATGTTTGATAATCACAATGGTCATTACAGTCACTCTCTCTGTATACCAAACATGAGGTACAGTATGGAACTAAGACCCCAAACAAGAGACGTGGAAAAAAACACAGCATAGAATGCATTATTAGATAACATGAATTTAATTAAGTAGAAACTATGATCCAGTGGGACAAAGAACCAGGAAGCTCTCATTAAGTCCTGACTCTGCTGCTGCCTGAGCTTGACCAAATCACTTAGACAAAAGTATGACCAGTTGTCTGTAAATGAATATAGCAATAACTGGCATAATAGTTATAAAAATGGGTGCAACAAAGATAGTATTTGAAATGTTTGCAAAGTTGTTGGGGAATCATATGAAAGCTGCAAAGTATAATTGCTTTAGGATAAACATAATTATTGATTAGATCAATTTTGTGATTCAATATTTTGATGGAAATAAAGTGAGAGGACACCAACTTTCATTGGAAAGTACTATGATTGTATCTAAATCAAGGGACAGTTGAAGTGTAACAATAACTATCTCAAAGGAAATGCTGGATTTAAACGCTTCAGAGGGGTAGCATACATACTGTTTGTGTACACAAATGCACATAGGGTGACCAGATGTCCCGATTTTATAGGGACAGTTCTGATATTTGGGACTTCTTTTTATATGGGCTCCTCTTACCCCCCACCCCCATCCTGATTTTTCACATTTGCTATCTGGTCACCCTAAATGCACATATGGTACAGATGCACAAACTCAGACACATCTAGGCATACAAGCTCACAGATACCCATGCATGAACACACACAAAAGAATATACACTCAGTCACATACACTGACCCATGTTGATGCACAGCTTCACCCCCCAAGCACAACTGTCACGCACAGACACATATTCCAATGCATCTATGTACAGGTGCACATTGTCCAATGCACAAGCACGCACACCCTCACTGTCCTGCTGTCACACTTCTACACTCACCTGTGCTGCTCTGCGATTCACTTATATACAGAAACACACTCACATGGACTCCCATCCACCCACAGGCTCCTCCATACTTATGCCCACCCCCCCCCCCATCCAGGGGCAGATTCCTACACAGAAACACACCCATAGTCATAGCTCTGCTATTGCATATGCTAATACACTTACCCTCAACATACAATGCACTTCCTGCCCCCAGCCCCAGCACACACATGTACCGATACACTCCTGCCCCCAATGCCCCCCCCCCCGCCAATACCCCCCAAGCAAACGGACTCCGTCCTCGCTTGTCCTTTTGGGGCCAGAACCACGAGGGAAACTTTTAACCCCTCCTCCCCCGATGCGCAGCGGGACACGGCGCTGGTGCAGCGTCCGCCCGGGCAGGGCTATCCGTGCGCTGGCGCCGCTCGCGTCCCCACACGGGCAACCCAGGAGGGCTCCGGGCCCGGCGGCTCTTTAACCCTTGCCCTGCCGCGCCCCGCGCCGGGCAGCTCCGGGGAGGGCCGCGGCGGCGGCGGCGGGGCCCGAGGCGGGGAGGGGGGCAGAGCGAGCCGCTCCCTCCCGGCCCGGCCCAGGCGGCAGGAGGAGCAGGGCGCGGAGCGCAGACATGGCGGCCAACATGTACCGAGTGGGAGGTATGTGGGGTCCGGGGAGCGCCGGCCCTGCCGCCCGGGCTCTGTCCCCCGGGCCGGGCGTGCGCTGTGCGCAGCGTGCTGGGGAGGAGGGAGCCTGGCGCACACCCCAGCCCCCCCACGCCCAGCCCAGGGAGCAAGCGCCCCACGCCCCCGGGGGGCCCCCAGCGGGGCCTGGGGAGGGGAAGGAGCCCGCCCCGGAGACGAAGGAGCCCAGCCCTCTGCCTGTGCAGGGGGAATGGGCTCAGCCCCCCAGAGCAGGACAGGGGAGGAAGCACCCCCGCGAGGGAAGGTGGGGAGCATCCTCTGCCCCCCCGGTGGGGGGGATAGGAGCTGCAGGCCCCTTCATTGGGGGAGGGAAAAGGGCAGGGCAGTGCCCCCAAAGGTCAATGGGAGCGGGCTCAGTAGCTGCCTAAGAGGCGATCACATGTTGTCTGCAACCAGCCACCACCAGGGGATGCAACAGGGGTAGCATCTCCCAGAAGAAATGGGGAGATGGTCTCCCAGGAGGACAGGGAAGGAGGCCACTTCTCCCGCCCCAGGATGTGCTAAAGTTATCCAGTAGCAGCCCCCCGCCAGGAAGGAGGAAAGGGCCAGGCTCAAACCAACATTGCTCAGGCCTGATGGGAGTGGGCAACCTGTGTCCATCCAGAGGTTTCTGCAGCACAGAAACGTCTCACCTTGTTTATTATTGCCTAGTGTCTTTGGCTACCTGTAAGGAAAAGTTTCCATATACCCTCTCCCCATTCCTCCCCCCAAGTTAAGTAATAAGTCAAGTTAGGTTGCTGTTATCTTGCCACCCATCAGCTTGGCTCCTGTGGGAACCACTGTGTTAGGTGCAGGGTGCATTGGCACAGGAGAGATAGAGGCCAGTTAAAGACTAAAGGAGGCTGTGGAAAAACACAAGCAATAACAATTTTCCACTCCCCCACAATAAAATGCCCTGTGCAGTGTTTACAATTATATGATTGGTGCCAAAGGAAAAGCTGAAGTTAGCTTTTCCATACCATCTCACTGTTCAATAGCATTTCTCTCCCAATCACTCCCCAAACCAGCATCCTACAATGCGTATCAGGGATGAGACAAAGGACAAAGACTGGACAGGGCCCATGAGTGTCCTGGTTTTGTCAGATCACATGCTAACGAGGTCTGAATTAAAGATCGTAAAAGTGATGAAGGTGAAATCAATTCCATCCTGTCTGTCCCTCCCAAGAGGTCAACCGCACAAATACAGCGTGGGAAATGATTGCTTAGGAAGGACTATGGCAGAAAAGGATCTGGGAGTTATAGTGGATAACAAACTAAATATGAGTCAACAATGTGGTACAGTTGCAAAAAAAGTTGTTATGGGATGTGTTAGCAGGAGTGTTATAGGAGAAGTAATTTTTCCTCTCTACTGAGCACTGATAAGCAGGGTGATAATATTTTCTCAAAGGAAAAATGGGACACCCCCGGGCCAGCCCGAGGCATAGTGCACACCCTATGTGTGCAGAGGGGAGCCCTCCGAGCCCTGCCTGTGTCTCGCCCATGCAGGGCTGGACTGAGTGTGGGGCTGGCCCAAGCCCCAGCGCAGCCTGCTCACAAGCACCCTTCTCCTCACACATGGGATTGTTCCTCTGAGCCCCACTGCCCACCCATGCGTGGAGCTGCCTGAGGCCTCCCCCTGAACACGGGGCAGGATGGCTGGCCCGAGCCGATCTCCTTAGCCCTCACTCCAGCACAGGGCTGCAGTTACCACTGGCCCACACTTCCCCCACATGTTCCTTCATACCCCGTTAGGGGTCCTACCCCACTTTTTTGACAAAACTGCATTTTTCCCGTTTGCTTGCTAACAGATGATCAAGAGCAAATGGGAAAAATACTCAGTTTTGTCAAAACAGTCGGGACGGCTGGGACAGGGCCTAAAAAAGGGACTGCCCCTGCCAAAATGGGATGTATGGTCACCCTTCTGATAAGGCGTCAACTGGAATACTGTTTCCAGTTCTGAGCACCACACTTTGTGAAAGATGTGGACGAATTGCAGAAAGACCAGAGGAGAGCAACAAAAATGATTAAAGGTCTAGAAAACATGAGCTATCAGGAAAGATTGAAAAAAATTGATGTTTTTTAGTCTGAAGAAGAGAAGACTGGGGGAGGCATGTGTAAAAAGTTGTTATAAAGAGGATGATGATACATTTTTCTCGTTATGCACTGAGGACAGGACAAGAAGTAATGGGCTTAAATTACAGCAAAGGAGATTTAGAAATTGCGGGAGCTTGTGGAATCTTAATCATTTGTGGTTTTTAAGAACAGGGTTAGTCAAACATCTGTCAGGGATGGGCTAGATAATATTTAGTCCTGCCTCAGTGCAGATGATTGGCCGGGATGACCTATTGAGATCTCTTCCAATCTTACATTTCTATGATTCTGTGATGTAGTTATAGCAACAAGCCCTCTTTCTCCAAGAGGGAATTTAGGTTGTGAGCCTGTGCACCCTTATTCATGTGAGTAATCCTTACAAGAAAAGTCCTAGTGAAGTCTGGGCAAGGATTCGCATAGTCTGGCCCCTGCTGCTTAGATTTTGGATTCTCACCTTAGGGGAACATGAAAACATTTCAGGAAGTAGCAACCACCCTCTCATTATAACTAAATGAGAAGGGGTCCCGGAATGTTTTTCTGCTGTAACATGGCATCACAGTATGAGAAAGGTTGAGAACCACTAGCTTAGACCTGCTAAACCATTCCCTCTCCCACTACATGTAACACACAATGATTACATATATATTTTTGATGAATTAACTGTACATTCCTTTTCTAACTCCCATCCCCCTTCTCATTTTTCCCCCTTTTATTGAAGCTAGTATTGGAGATGTAAGATTATTGGGCAGGTTAACCTCTGTATGTTCACTATTTTTCCATGCGTTAATTCTACCATGTTTCCATAGTGGTAAATTCATACATTAGTGCAGGATGCAAATTACCGTGTTTTGCAAATTATTTACTGAACTGGGATGTCAGCAAAAGCAAGTATGATGCATCACAAAAGTACTTTGTTCATTTATCTGGACTACTGTACTTATTAATACTTCCAAATTGGCTAGTCAATGTACAGTAGCATATTTTCTAAAAATAGCAATGTCTCAGTAATACCAAACTGCACTATACAGTACACCGAGGGTAAATTGTTTGCTAAGAGGTTGTGGGAGACTGCCAGTTTTTAAAGCGGATTTATAAAGTACGTGGATTAGTGAAGTGCATTGTAGGCTTTGATCCTACAAAGATTTATGCACATACTTAACTTTACAGTCATTGGGAATGTTCATAGTGTGTAAAGTTAATCACATGTATCTTTGCAGAATCAGGGCCTTAATGAGGTTCTGTTTAGTTAATCCCAAGAGTTATGAGATTATTGATTCAAAACTCAACAAATATTCAAAA